TAGAATAGAATAGAATAGAATAGAATAGAATAGAATAGAATAGAATACTTTATTGCAACTTTGAATGTACACTAATCGGCATGCATTAAAATGAAATTACATTGCATGCAGCTCTCAAAGGGTCTCCTCCTCTAATATAAATATAAGCACGACTAAATAAATAAATAAATAAATACATTCATACATACATACATACATACACGTATACAAAATTATGCATGTACCCACATATATTTTATGACATGGAGAAACAACATTCTAGTTTGGAGGTATACAAGTACATGGCAAGAGAAACAAATCTTGCAAGTTTACCAGACGAATGGCATAGATCAGGGGTGTCAAACTCGCATTGTCACGTTGTCATCATGTGACCTATCACAACTTTTCCCCCTTCACTAAAATGGGGGTGGGCATGACCAGTGTGTGATGCATCCAGCCCATGGGCCGCAAATTTGACACCCTTGACATAGATGGATTACTGTTTATTTACTGTTTGCTACCTCCTCCCTATCTCACCTGACTTCTTAACAAGTCCAAAAGGAACTTCAGAAGAATTAACAGATTTTAGAGTATCAGAAAATCTTAATCTAATAATAAGGGTAAAGTTTTATTCCTATGCTGTTTGTCTAGTGGGTATTCATAAGATAATGTGTTTTCCCCCCCCTTCTTTTCACAGTGCTTATACAGAGCCTTACAAGGTGTGCCCCATCTCTGTAATTCCTCTTGAAGATGTCACATCTGATGAGGAACAGAAGAGTTCAGAAGATGAAGACAGTAATCAAGGAGATTCCAATATCATGCACAAGGTAAAAATACACTTTTCTTTTGGAATACATTTTGTAGATCCTGGGAAATTTGTTAAGATATTTTCTTCTACTTCCACTTCTTCTGAAATGAACTAGAATTAAATGTCTGTACTGATATTACTGAAATCATTAAATGAATATGTAGCACTATTCAAAACTAGGCAAAACTGGTCTATATTAGGATGATTTATTTTAAAACATTCATAGAAAATAAAATTCTAGTTTTTATGGGAACTTTACTCTATTTAAAAAGCAATATTTGACTGATGAAACACAAATCAGCTCTATCATTTTTTGTAGAGAAAAACTTTACGATTAGATATAGCCATTGTAATAGGACATTTTGATTAGGGTTAGGGTTAGGGTTAAGAAGAATTGGCAGACATAGTAAATTTAACTGCTGAAAATAGTCCCTAGAATTTGGAAATGAGCTAATCTGAAAATAGTTTTGGGCTGGTTTAGTAACAAGTGTAATTTGTTGATTTCCTGGTCTAATTGTTGGACTTGTTCATGTACACCTTTTATCTACTAGATAAAAGTCAACCTGAATACAGGAATGAAAGCAGCAACTAGTAGAAAAAATATTTTCAATTTAGTCAGAAAATGTGATATATATATTTTTTAAAAAGTGCATTGGTAATTTTTTATGCCTTCAAAGCAGCATTGAGTCCTGACAACTGCATGGACCAGTCCCTGCAGTTTTCTTGGCAAGATTTTGTAAATGATTTGCCATTGGCTCCTTCATAGGGCTGAGAGAGGATGCTGGCCCCAAGTAATCCAACTGAGTGGGACCTAGGTGGGAATAAAATTCAGAATTTCCAGTTTTTAATCAGGTGCATAAACTACTCCATCACACTGACTAATTTATATTGTAAGTAATAAATGACTATTTGCTAAAATGTTTTGTTTTCATTATGCTGAATATTATAGTAGGTTTTCATTATGCAGAAATTCTGTCCTAACTGAATATATAATCTTACAAATCTTGAATAAATATCAGGTTGCTGGATTGTTCCTCAAATATTTAAAAAGGCTTTATAAGTTCCTTAGATAGTGACATGACAAACATGATTTCTTTTTCTCTTATCAACTCTTCTCCCAGACCCAATCTTCTCTAGGCAAACAATTATATTTCATATCTATCTTGTGAGTTTCTGTTTCATGAAAATCTTAGCAGGATTCTGGAACCTGTGCCAGTATATTTGTTGCTCTGGGACATACGTTAATAAGATCAACATAGCATCTGCGGTATTTACAACCCAATCAAATGTCAGACACCAGTAGATAGTGTTGTTCTGAAAAGTCACATATGCTTTGGCATTAAATGAACCATTTCTTACTAAGAATGCTGCTGTTAAGTTCATTTTAAAAAATGGGTAAATCCATTCCAAGCTATTAAGGAACACAAGCTGATTTGTGTAAGTAAGGCAATTTGCAGCAGAGTCCAATTAATCCAGTTCCTCTGTCAACTGAATGTACTATTACCAATTTTACTTCTACTTCTGTTGCTGCTCAGATTCCTTAAAACCAAAATCTGACTATTATATGTACTTTTCTGCATCTAGGGAAGGAGCACATTTAAAAACTAAGCTTATCTTTCATAGCTGAATTGTTGTATCATGGAAAATAGTTTATTTTTAAAGAAAATATGGATTTCTTGCCTGAAAATCCCTTCCTTCTGTCTTAAATCAAAGGACAACCCAGTAAATATGGCCAAAGAGCTGTAACTACACTTAACCCAACACAATTAACTACACTTACCCAACACTTACTTGAAACACACACACTATTTGGAAGCACAGAGGTGGAACATTTCTGAATACAAATGGAGGACAAACTCTCAAAACTTGTGGGCATAATGTGAGTTACTTCAAATTTTAATTTATTGCAATATTCTCCAGTCAAAGAAAGAAGTACCCCCCCACACTATTATGTAATGTTATTTAACTGGCAGGTTCCAGGAGGAGGAGGAGGAGGAGGAGGAGGGAGGAGGAGAAACAATATTAGAAAAAGCATTTACTTTCAGGGTGTTTCCCTCACCAGAAGTCACACTGATTTCTCCTTTTTCATTTTATTTAATGTATAATTCAGAAGCTAACACTGCATTAAAAATTCTGGCATATGGCATTGAGTTAGAGAACTCCCAGCTAAATATTTTTAAACCTCTATGATGCTCCTCAGAGAGTGAGGTGCCCTTCACTTAACTAAAATTTCACCTCTAGTTTACCTTGCTTCAATTACCTAAGGCATAGTGGGACTAGCTTTCACATGTGGGTCTCATGTATATATTTGTTTGGCTGCTCACCATGGAGGTGACCTTTACTTTCATGACAACAGAACTGCATCCTGGAAGAAAATGGCACATGGCAGATGTCGAAAGAAGACATTCCTTTTTCCTTAAATCTTCATTAAATTACAGTTGTTGGTAAGGAGGATATTTTACATGCAGTATTTTACTGAGCATTCAGACATATCATCAAGGAAGCAAACAGTTGCACAGATGAAATATCACAAACCAGCAATCTCCTGTGGGTACATCTTCAAGGGCATAAAAAAACCAATTTAGTAGGCAAAATCACTATATTATCCTCTATTCATCAGTCTGTCTTATTGTTTGGTGCTATGTATCAGATCTCTGTTTCTGCTTGATAGCTTGCTGTTAGTTCTTTGTTCCCTTCATTGCTAAAACATTTGGATATACTTGTCATGTGGCTTGGAACATTTGTAAGCAATCATAGTCACAACATATAGTAGTGTGGCTAACACTCTGCATTTCTTTCTTGAAGTGGTAACAATACAGATGGCTTTCTGTAGCTATACTCTTATTATCTATGGTTTAAAATACCCATAAAGGTTGAACAAATAGAAACTCTGTAGCTGCAGTAAGACTTCAATTGTGGAGAAGGAAACTATTAACTGAGAAGTTGATTCTTCCTCTTTTAACCATCATCTGTCCAATATATTTGTTCCTCCTTCTCCTTGCTTGGATGTGACGCATAATGTCAGGCCATTCATGAGGCTCCATGTGGCTTCCTTAAGGCTACCAACAAATAAATGCTCTGTCTTACATATTGACAAAAAAAATCAGAAAATAAAATGCAAGCTGAATAGTCAAGACCTTGTTGAGGATCCAAACTCTGTCAAGGACCTTGGAGTACTCATCTCTAATGATCTAAGTGCTAGAGCCCACTGTAACTACATCGCCAGAAAGGAGTTGTTAACCTAATCCTACATAGCTTTTTCTCTGGTAATATCACACTACTAACTAGAGCTACAAAACATTTGCTAGACCTATACAGCTCATCAGTCTGGAACCCACAGCATGTATCTGATATTAATGCAGTTGAGAAAGTCCAGAAATATTTCACAAGAAGAGTTTTCCACTCCTCTACCAATTGCAGAATACCTTATGCCACTAGATTTGAAACTCTAGACCTAGAAAACCTAGAACTATGCCGCCTTCGGTCCGATCTAAATACAGTATATAAAATCATACATTGCAGCGTCCTACCTGTAAATGAATATTTCAGCTTCAACCATAACAACACAAGAGCACACAATAGATACAAACTCAAAGTAAACCGCACCAAACTTGATTGCAGGAAATACGACTTCAGCAACAGAGTGGTCAATGTTTCGAATACTCTACCTGACTCTGTGTTTTCTTCCCCAAACCCCAAAAACTTGAACCTTAGACTGTCTACTCACCCCTTTCCTAAGAGGCCTGTAGGGGGCGTGCATAAGCGCACCAATCGTGCCTACCATCCCTGTCCTATTATTTATTTTTATTTTTCTTATACGTATCCATTTCATGTATTCATAACTATGTTTATACTTATACCTGTTATCTTGTAAGAGATTGACAAATCAAATAAATAAAGAGTGGCTCACTCAGAGGGTAATGAAAGAAGTTGCCTCTTTGTGCCATATAGCTCATATTAGCTTATCTGCACAGCTTGTTCAGAAGTTGGAAGGTCCTGGATGCTCATGTTACTATAGCTTCTCTCAGTGACTGCAAGATACTTATGCTAGGGATTGGTCCTCACTTCCTTAAAGTCTCCAATCATAGCTTTGGTGATAGTGATTGGTGCTACTTCTGAAAGCAGTTAAGAGTATCACATGTACCACATAAGCAGGGATGGGTTTCAAAAATTTTAGCAAAGGGTTCTCTGCCTGGTTGCTGGGTAGGCATGGCCTAGTTGGCCTCTTGCATCGTAGTGATGGGGGGCATTTTTGACCTCCCCAGCCTCTGGAGGCTTTCTTTGAGCCTCCAGGAGGGCGAAAATGGCCTTCCCGGGCTCCGAAGCCCCCCTGGAAGCCATAAACGGGCCCATTTCTGGCCTCCCCAAACTTCCAGGAGACCTGTTTTTCACCCTCCCTGAGCCTTTGTGCATGCCCTGCACTCACCTGCATCCAAACTGTGCCGCATGGGGACTCCTAGGAGAGGTGGGGTGGGCGGGGCGGGGCCAGCCAGGAGTGGGATTTGGGGGTCCTCTGAACTGCACAGAATCTTAGCTAGGGGCTCTCCCGAGCCCTTGCGTACCCCCAGCAGCCCACCTCTGTACATAAGTATCTTTCCTGAAGTTGTGTACTTTCCCCTTAAGGTTTTCTATGCCATAATTCAAAAGAAAAACACAAAACAAAAATAGCCCCCTTTTTCCTTTGAGAAGAAAGTTTCACTTCTATGCTAACAATTTGGTTAGATGTCTATGGAGATTCTCAGTCATCCAGGTCCTGGTTGTACTAAAGGTGCTTTTTCAAGAGTTAACTGGACTTATTTGTTTTTCTTTGAAGACGTTTTACTTCTCGTCCAAGAAGCTTTATCTGAAGAATCTTCTTGGATGAGAAACGAAACGAAAACGTCTTCAAAGAAAAACAAATAAGTCCAGTTGACCCTTGAAAAAGCACCTTTGGGACAATCTAGAATTGGGTCTTGATTTTCTACAGACCATATTTTTTTAGTAGAGATTCCATGTTGAAGCAGACATGTTTGATTTTCA